ATCCATCGTCATCGGTGGCTATGCTAACTAGCCTTAGCATTCACAGCATTCTCTGCTGACAGGAAGCTATAGTAAAGCAGAAAGCATGGGGGTGGGGCTAAGACCCTCCTCCTGGCTGTGATTGGTTGTTTCTGATCGAGGCAAAAGAGCATAATTTTTTCACAGATTTTCTATCTCATGCCAAACTGTCAAATCATAGTGACCGTATTAATGAATATGTAAAGGAAAAAAATAAATACAAGTTAAATAAACCAGCGAAATGCTATGGCAAAAAGAAAGAAAAAGTCATTTATCAACTTTATTTTATTAAACACACAAAATAGTGGATGTAAAATATGTTACAACAATCACAAAAGATACATTTTGCACTAAAAATGTTTAGAATAACCAAACCAGTTTCAAGGTTGTTCAAACCAGTTATTGCACCTTTTACAATTTTAGCCTAATTAATTTAATCTTTTCATTTCCTTTAAAATGCCTTGCTGCTGAAATGTGCTATACAAATAAAATTTGATTGATTGATTGATTGATTGATTGATTGATTGATTGATTGATTGATTGATTGATTGATTGATTGATTGATTGATTGAAAACACAGGTTGTTGCTTAAAAGTTACACAAAGTTTCTGTCTCTGTTGAACACGAGCATTAGCAATTATCCCACTTTGTTGAAAGCGATGACCCCAGACACAGTTGTTGTTGTCTGGGGTCAACATAACTGTACTTGGGCAGTACTTGAAAGGTCAATGCTGTTTGATTTTAAAAGTTTCAGTTTCTGGTAGATGAAGTCTTCCAGTATCCTTCAAGTGCAGAACAGTGCACACAGGTCCATATTAACCTGGTTAAAAAACTCTCTTAGAAGGTCAAGTGCTATTAAATTAGAGGCAATAATTGTCTATTTAACTCTAAATGAGTCTCAAATCATTGTCAGAGTTGGTTAATTTTCATTCTGTGAGATTAATAGAAATCAGAGGCCACCCAGGAGGAAAATCATGCTCTTAGCAACCGTTGGAAATAATAAGAAGAAATTGCAATTTATAGTTGATTATCACGGAAAGTCCATTTCAGTGAAGTTGCTCCATAAATGCTTTTGTGTGTGTGTCCGTGTGTGTGTGTGTGTTTGCAGATACATGGCCATCATCCACCCTCTGAAGCAGAGGTTGTCATCCACTCAGACTCGGTTGGTGATCGGTGTGATCTGGCTGCTGGCTCTGCTGCTGGCCTTTCCTCAGTATCTCTACTCGTCCACCACAGTGCTGCCCGGACGCACGGTCTGCTTCATAGACTGGCCTGAATACAACACTGTTGACTTCAAAAAGATGTGAGTAGCTGAGCTGGTGTTTCCTCCTGACCACAGTGTTGTCTTCCAACTTGTGAGAAGCAAGTTGAAATCATGTAATGATCAAGTTATTCCCATGTGTCTTTTTTTTTTTTAATTCAGTGTTGAGATTACATTATCCTGAGAGGAAACTGGTTGTTAAATTATTAGCAGACAATTAATAAAACATCCTTGGGCTTATTAGGCATTTTTGTTGTTGTTGGAAGTGTAACAAAACCTTTAGATTTTGAATTTATGATGGTCAAATCAAACATTGGACTTTATTTGGTTTCAAAGTAAAAGCTGTCACAAACAGACATCTAAATGTGGTTCATTAGCCAAGAGTTAGCAGGAATCATTTCTTGATGGTGGGACTCATAATTTTACTCTACAGATGTGACAAGTTACTATGGTACAAAATGGTGACTCAGGATGGATTCCCATCTAACGTTTAGTCCGTTTTAATCCAACTCCACTCTGTTTGCCTAGAAAATCCAGTTCGTCTGGGAAGGTGTGAAAGCGCTCTCAGACTCTGATCCACTTACAAACGTAGGTGTTGGTTCAGTTGAAGTGAACTCTAGTTCAGTTTGAATGTACATGTGAATGCTCTAAAATCTGATGCCACTCCATTTTTGTTCACATTTAGTGAAGTAGTAAGATATGCTCAGTGACTTCTTCAGAGGTTCTTGTGACATTTCCTTCAGTGATTCTAGGTGCGGCGCCCCCACAGGCAAGGAGGGGAACAGATTTTTTAAAGTGTTTGATTCATTTGACACAGTGCAGTGTGAAAATAAACCATCACCACCTGAACATTTAACAGATATTGCAATTTTGGTCCCTAATTGAACTTAGTCTACTGGACTAATAGGTGTGAAAACACCCTGAGTGTGTCAACAACTGAAATACACATGATATCCCTGAGCATATGGTGCCATCTGGTTATGAATTCCACTTAAGTCTTGAGGGAATGATCTGCAAAGAAATGTTGGTCCTTTTACACAGGACCATACTTTTAATGTACCATTTAGACTACATTCATAATCAATAAATTAAAATATGATGAGTATCATGTCAGATTAAAACCCCTTTTTGAAAATGACAAACCTTAAGCACGTATTACCCTTACTTTTCATTAAGCACACATGTTTTTCATTGGTCTGATGTAATATTTTATTCATAAATATGTTTTTATTAGCTGCAAGTGGAAAATCATCATCATTAACAACAATAAAGTCTCGAAAACATCAGTCTGATCAGTCAAATGAATGTGTATTATGGTTTTCACTTACTGAAATAAATTGATTTTGGCTTTACATATTTATTTGCAAAATTTCAACTTTTATCTCAGTGAAGGAGAGGATTACTCCAATCCTTTCTGACACTCTTCACCATTTTTTATTCATAGCCAGAAGCGCTCCAGGTCTCAATTTTTTCTTTTTCCTTTTTCTCCTCATCTTCCAAAATTATCACCAACTTCCAGCCGTCAGGTTTCTGTCATGGAATCTGCATGTCACAGCGCCGCTGGCCTTTGAGAATCCTGCAGGCTGTAAAATATTCATAAATAAAGGCGGCCTGTCCCCAACACGTATAACTGCTACAGACCTGTGGAAAAGCTTTGGGGTCCATCACAAATGTCTTCTGTTTATTTTTAAAATTTTATTATTATTATTTTAAGCATTCAAATGTTGCTTTCATTTATTCAGGAGAAACACAACCAAAACCAACCAGGTCCTGTGTGAAAAGGTCAACTTACTAACTGCAATCAGATGTGATAATAACAAGTAACAACTGTGGAATTTTGGACCAATCTCTATTTTTTTACAGAAATGTTTAATTCAGCTACAGTGGAGCTGAACTGTTTCCAGCACATTTTATAAAACGTCTATAGATCTGAGTTATTTTACCCCCACTTCACCTTATCAGTCAGGTTCTATTTAAGTTCTTTCTTTCTGCTAAAGGTCAGGCAGTGACCAGGCCAGTGAAACTCAACTCAGCTAATCACAGTAAATTCATGATTCANGTTATTTGTCGGTGGTACATCCCATGTAGGGGCTTGTCCTCCCATGATGGTACCTCCAGCACCTCATCCTCTGTTCCCCATTGTCTGAGACATTTGCTGAGCACATCGTCTGTTGAGGCTTTGTCCTTGATGTGTATATGTATTATATAAAATGTTTTTTTTTTTGTTTTTTTTTTAAATAAGCCAGACTGCAAGCATCTCAGAAGTGCAAATAGTTGATACGTATTTTGTATTTTTTTATTTGTTGTTTTAAGACTCTATTGCTGGGTTTCAGACATGTGACCCGGATGATGCACGAAATTCAGATGGAGATCCAGAAGGGGATTTCTCTGGTTCAAAACAAAGCAAAATTGATCACAATGAGTACGCTAATGCCATAAATAGTCTGGAACAGACAAGGCATCTCGAAAAAATATGCGTATATTTAGGATATGATCCTTATTATCTTGGTAAAAAAAGACTTCTCTTATAATCTTGAGGTTTTACCAGGCATCCAGGCGATCCACATAACTATCTGGAGTTGCAGAGTTCATATTTTACGACGAGCCAGAAGAAAGTTTCAAAAGCCTGGAGAATACTATCATTTAGTTTCAGGTTTGGTCAAGCATTTAGGATCAAAAGAAGCATTAAATGACTGTCAACTTGTTTCTGCCAGGTGAGAAGTGAGTTGTGCCATTTTAAATAATTAGTCTATGATAGCGATGCTATTGCTAACAACAAACTAACCAATGTTATTTCTATGTGCTTGGATCTCCTGGTAAATTATTTATCTAGCTTCTGTAAACCCAAATTCATGCTGGAGTTGTATGTTAATGTTGAGTAGTGTAGTATCCTGGATTCAGGTCCAATGTAGGTCAACCATTAGAAGCGATCTACAGAAACCCCATGTTCGTGTCTGGCCAAAAATGTAGTTCGTGGCCAGACACGAAGCATGTGGGGGAATAGTCACAGCTCACGACGACTGTAAGGCTGGGTAGGTTATATTTAATCTATTTAACTTTATTTTATTTTTAGCATGAAAGTCCCACTGAATAAACATATTTTCTGTCTGGGACTCAGCACTGAGTTAGCTGTGCTGAGGACTACCACGCCATGGTATAAAAATAAAATACCTTACCTTACATATGAATGATTGTCTTTCTAAGTAACTGTCCAATAAAATATCTGAAAATACAATTTAAACAATGTGATCGTTACCTGTTAGAAAGTGGGCGCTGCAGGGCAGGGTTAGTTTCTGCACCTCCTGTTTTTAGCTGTAGATTGTTGATCCACTTTTCTCCTCTTTTTTTGGTGTTTTAAAATTAACTCCCTTGTGACAAACTATTTTTGAAATATGAAAATAGCGTTTATCTTTCTCTCTACTAGAACAGTTGGAACAACCATACAGGACACAGACTTTAGGCACTTTGATGTTGGGTCAACATAAGTAAATGGGCTGCATTTACTTCCAGCCCTCCATCTGCATTGGGTGACGTCGGTGCTACGTCATCTGAAACCCAGCAATAGCTGTCAGTTTAAGTATTGTTGGCAATGTCTTCCAGTTACATAATTACCCAGTAATATTTCCTGTCAGCTTCACATCTTTTAATACAAAAACACAACAGGCTACTGGTGGATCCCCTCAGTGCCCAGCCCACTGGGCTTAAGAAGTTTTCTGGGGGAAACCCCGTAATCATTACCTGATCAATAAGATCAATCAATTTTAGATTAGCTCATTAATTGATAACTTGTATCCTTTCACCAGAATGTTGATGTAGAGTAAAAAGCTACTCCTTTCTTAATGCTGCAACAAAAAAATATACAACGGGTCATTCAAGAATTTTTAAAAAAACGTTTCAGACACTTAAGTTTCCCTGTGGCTCAACAAGAGACACACTTCAGGCCCACATCATGGTCTAAACCAATCACAGATAGTGAAAGTAGGGATGGCCATCCTTTGATTCCTGCCCATATAGGGTGATAATCAATTGAGGATAGTCACTAACCTATTAAGATATTATTGCATCCGACAGATGTTTTGTGTTAGTTTCTGTGATTTGAGATCACACTCCATTGTTCTGCCCTTAGGTGCACCACAGGACCTCTACATTTTTAATTTAACCTACTGCTATTAGAAGCTATTTTTAAAAAAAAAAGGCAAATAGTACATTTTGTTTCCTACTGGTTAAAAACAAGCAGGGAAATTTTTAAAATCTCAAGTGCTACCATTATTAATTTCTATATGAACAGATATTAACAATAAAGCATATCCAACAAACATTTCTTGTATTGCTGCTATGATCAGCTTCTGGTAACATCTTCATATACTCATACTTTCTACACTGACCCCTAATATAATTCAACAGGAAGACATGAGCACCTCCTCTCTTTGATAAGAGTAATGATCGCCTGTGACAGATGCATTCATCATCCAACTAAATATCTCAGTGAGTGATATTTGTGTTGTGATGATACAGTACAAACACATGTATGGTACTATTACACTTAAGATGCACCATTCAGAGATTCTGTAGACGACTTTGGAGGCGTTCACTGATTGCAATACAATATTGGGAGCTTCCAATTTGGCGATAATCAAGTAAGGACAGTCAAGGTAAAACTGATCACCAAACAATGACTAAATAGTCTACTAAAATAGTCTCTTTCAGTGTTGAAAAATCAAAGAGATTACACATTACAAAAGGAAACCAAGAAGAAGAAATACCAGCATGTGAACCTTTCCACATGCAGCTGCATCATCCCTTCCTGACCACATCTTGTAAACAAACTGTGGTTCATTAATCAAAGGTTTTGCAGTGAGAAGCAACGCAGGACATCAGGTGATCTTAATGAATGTGGGTGACTTCCTAGAAAGCAAGCACTCCTTTGAGGGGCTTCATAAACATGCATCCTACTCTGCAGTTTGGTTGAAGGGGCAGCCATATATTTGCTTCACTGAAACTAAGAACTGTGGGTGGTTTTCAGACACGGAAACAAAAGTTTAAATAAGTTGCTGGGGCTCCACAGCTATGACTGTCAAAACAGCTAGTACTGAGAAATACTGTATTGTACCTTAGTCCTTCTCTTTCATATCCAGACTACCTGCATGCAGCAGATGTGCTTCTGGCTCCTCCCGACCATTGAATATTGTTTTCTCAGCCCTCTGGTATTTCTGTCATGTGCCTTTTTTATGATGTTCTGGACATAAAATATCACAAAAGCTCATTTAGTTTTGTGATTGGCTGATACCTTGTGTATATTCTACATGTCAACAGACAGCTCCTACATCTTACACACAATGGATACTTAGCATAAATGATTGCTTGAGGCAGATGGTTCAGAATGAAGTCCTAACATATACCATTATTTATTTATGTCATTTGACAGCTCATAACCAAACTCAGTTTGCCACTTATCAGGAAACAGGTCATCAGTAAAGGGGCATAGTTGGACAAAGGTATAATACAGGTTCAATGGGTTTTGATCCAGTAGTAAATTCAGCATGGATATTAAACTATTGCAACATTTCTGAGTATGTATATTAGAAATAATAAGCTATTGCTAATTAAATCTTTTAATAAACTAAAATGGTTAATACCACCTAAAGCAGTGTCAGATTGAGGCTCCTGGTCCTCAAGTTACAGTGCCCTGCATGTCTTAGGCATTTCCCTGCTTCAGCACACGATTTTAATTGATGACTGGTTAACTGGCTTTTGTTGAATTGCAGCCATCTGAATGAGGTGTGCTGAAGCAGGGAAACATCTAAAACATGGAGGTCAGTGTACCTTGAGGACCAGGGTACACAGACCTGCATGAAACACTGGTCTAAAGGTAGGCTACAACTTAAAATTCAGGAAATGTCTTTAGTACTGTTAAAGAGATATCAGGCATTACCCCGAGAATTAAAAACCTTTACTTCCGCGCTACTTCCTCGTGAGAACAGCATAACTGGCATCTTTTAATGTATGATTCTGTCAACAGCTCAATTTGTGCGTGTATCAACAGGGGTAATTTTCCAGCCTGTTCCCCTGAACATGCCAACCTCCCCCCACCCCCAGCAATTATGTAACCTCAGTTTACCAGTCATTATGAGCGAGTGTAAAATAACATATAACGGCTGTATAAACCTCCGGTCTAAAATGTGACTTTAATACTAGTAGCTCCGCGGCTTAGGGAGAGGAGCGATGAGGGAGAGGGTCCTAACAGCGGCACGGCGCCAAAAAAACCTACCCAACGCTGCGGATACGGA